CTAATGCATTTTTGTACCTATAGGAGATCACCCGTTAAAGAGTTCACGAATTAGATGTTTGATGTCGACGATTGGTGATTAGTGTAACAAATTTTTGAATATAAATGAATTGGTGATTAGTGTAACAAATTCTGATATGACTATAAGCATATTGCAGAGTGAGAATTATTATATCGAGAGCATAACTAGAAAATCTCTATAGATAGGCATTGAGGCCAAAATGATCAATTATGAATATGTTTTCATCAAACAAACAAGTTACTCATGTTCGTCTCTGATATCAAAAATTCATGTTAAAATTCATATAAATATGACATTTTATCTAATAAATAACCATATCCATAGGCAAAAATTCAAGTTACTATGTCATTAAATTGCTAGTTAACTCTTGGGGGTACCCTTTTTTTTTTTATAGGTTCATTTCCTATGATTCCCCTACCAAATACATAAAGACTCAATTAGGTGATTTATTGAGTTCTAATTGAAACTTACTTTTGCTTCATAAGTAATTATAAAGAATGAAAAATGGTATGTGAGTTTTTGACATGTTTTCTTACAGAAGATACATACGTTGTCTCAGTCACGGAGTCCTGGTTTGCCCATGCTGCAGCAAACAAATATGTTTCCCCCCCACCCCAAATGTTAGGAAGTATTTATACTTTTTTTTACTGTTATTTTTATTGTTTGGCGTTGCTGGGTGTTTTGTTACTTGGATGCTTTGTGCCATAAGAGCCAGCTTTTTTTGCTTTCTATTTTTCCTTGTTAAGGCCTGTAGTGGGAAGACAGAGAAAGAGAAGCGTGAAGTGACAAGTTAATGACCTACAATGTAGGACAAGATGAGGTTAACTGCTCCTACTAGTAGTGAAACCAAGCCTAATAAGTGGCCACTGAAAAATAGGCTTTGGGTGGGTGACATTGGTTTTTGAACGGTGGATGGGTGGTAAATTATGGGGATTTAAGGGTACCAAAAATTGCAACAAAAAGTAGTGATTTGAGATTGAAGATACAAAATTTTGGGGTTGTTCTTACCCCTTTCAATTCTTTATCTTAAATTTCCTTTTTTTTATACGTAAACGATTTTATAAACTGGGGCCCCCATGGAAATGCTTCTTGTGTATGAAAAGATGCCACTGCCAAAAGGCACTTTACACACCCTTGCATATCCAAAAGCGCTACAACTTCTATACTTGGTCTAGACCTATGGTGTACATGTTCTTGAATATGGGTGTCAGTTGTGGGCGTGGGTCTAGGCTTTGGTCTTGAAAAGCTTCTAGGATTAGTGTTGTAAGAGGTAAAAGAAAGATTTGTGTGTGTGAAAAGGAAAAGGGTGGAATTGAATTGATTTCTGTAACTTTCAGATTGCATCATTTCTGAAATAGTGCAATTAAAGGGACTGGATGACACTGATTTATGGATTTTAAGATTAAATTAGTAGCTAATAGGTATGGGGGTGGTTTGTACTTGATAAGCTAGGGTTTAGTTTTTGAGGGAGGTGAACAGTAACACGCAAAGATGAAGAGATAGGAGAAGGAAGGTGGCACTTCCCCCTCATAACGGTCATGAAAATATATATAAAATCCAATCTAGTTTCTTGCAAGAAGTGTTCAATTGCAAGTGTGAGCCACATATCCCAAACCCTAATCCAAGTGTGAAGTGTCCGAAACGGATGTTTGATATATTTTTAAGAATCCATGTAACATTGGCCAACAAATCCCAAATATAGAAAATACTAGAAATAAGGTATATCAATATAACGGGCAAAGACAAGGAATATTCGGTACTATCAATTTGTCTTATGTTTCCTATCCTGCTTACTAAATAAGCCACATCAAGCCAAGATGGATAATAATCCAATTATTTCTCTTCCCCACCCTTTTCCCTCTTCAACAACCAAGGCATTAGAGTTGCCAGGAACACCCAAGCCACACTAAACCAAGAGAGGGCCAATGTTTAAAGCTCCTCAGCCACTGAACAATAGCTGAGTATCTCTTGCACATGTAGTCCAGTCACAGTTAATTTATTAGATAAGTTTTCATTTACTAGAGAGAAGAGATTGGAATTGAGAGATCTAAACCACATTTAATTAGATAAGTGAGATCCAAATTACATTGGAACTTGGAAGGATGCAATCTGTTAAACCAGTCCAATAGAAGCACGTGTATAGCGGCGTTTAGGCGAAGATGCCGATAAACCGTTAAACGTGAAACTATTGAATTGTCCCAAACTAGCACCTAGAAAGACGACGTGCAAAAATTTACAGGATAGCAAATATTAGACTTATTAAACGTGAAACTCTTGAAACTTGCTATCTGCTCTTTAAGTCTAAAGTAAGTCATCTTGGTCAAATCATTCTTTCCATAATGGCCTCACTTTCTCAAAAGCACGGTGAATTGCCGTAGTAGTCTTTGAGGTTAGTTCTAGCATCTAATCTCTGGCTCTCATTGCTAAAAAATTTGAAACGTGGTATCCCTCTCTAGGGATGTAATCAAATATGTAATTGTTGAACTCTTTAGGAGTTAATTTCCTATAGGTACAAAAATGCATTAGTGTAAAGAAAAATAAATTCATTTGAACGACTTCTAAATAAAATAAATAAAGCAATAATTAATACATGTAGAGATCGTAATATTCCACTGGTAATTCGCCACCTTTAATAGCTTTAACAATGAATGAGTTATCCAATTGTATTAATATCTACGTGAACCTATATTGTCGAGCTAGAAAGAGGCTACATTTAGTAGCTTTTAGCTCAGCTTCGTATTTGTCATGTACAACTGTGAGCCGTATTGTTGTACATCTTTAATTGTACCCAAATGATCTCGAAAAACAACCCCGCTGACATAAATAGTCCCATCTGTCTTAATAAATGATATATTTGAGTTGATTTTAATCCAATCAATGGAAGGAGGAATCCAAATAACCATACCAATTGGTTGTTCTAAAAGCAGAGTATTAATCATACTCGAAACCTTGATTTTTTGAATTTTAATAAACTCCTTGAAATGGCCGTACTCTTGCGGACCCTAATTTGAAAATATGTCTATATATACGAAAATGTGTATGGGTTGTGTCACTTTCGATTCTAATTTGTATAAAGTACGGAGGTGGAGTAAATGCTTTTCTTCGAATTGGGTTCTCAAACTAATCTCAAATGTGGTTGACATAAAATAATCTCTATTTCTAACTAAAAAACTAATCACAGGTCATGTACAAAAAGGTTCCATTTTGAAACCTACAAAGTTAAAAATATAATACTAACAATTTTCAAGAAGATATATACATAACAAAGACAATAACACTTATTATTATATGAATACTCCTCACTTATTGGATCTTCCCTCTTCAATGACATGAATCAGTTAGTAAGTGAAGAGGAGTATTTATATAATGATAGTTATTATCTTTGTTATGTATATATCTTCTTAAAATTGATTGTAGTATTTTATTAATTCCGCAGGTTTCAAAATGTTCTTTTTCGTATAAGAACTGTGATTAGTTTTTTAGTTAGAAATATGGATTATTGTATATCGCTCCCATTTAACATTAGTTTGAGAATCCAATTCGAAGAAAAACGTTTACCACATCTTCGTACTTTATATGGATTATATTCAAAATTTAAGACCCATACACATTATATGGACATATTTTTGAAATTCGGTCTGCATTAGTATGGCTATTTCGAGGAATTTATTAAAGTGCAAACAATTAGCGTGTCGAGTATGATTAATATTTTACACTTGGAACAACCAATTGGTAGGCTTATTTGGATTCCGCCTCCCATGGATTGAATAAAATCAACTCAGATACATCATTCATTAGGATAGGTGGGACTGTTTATGGTTCAGCGGGGTTGTTTTCCGAGATCATTTCGGTATAATTAAAGCTATACATGTTATACGGCTTAGAGGTGTACGCGACAACTACAATGCTGAGTTAAAAGCTGACGAATGTAGCCTCCTTTTAGCTCAACAATATGCGTTCATGTAGATGTTAATACGATTGGATTACTTATTCATTATTAAAGCCATCAAAGGTGGCAAATTAACCGTAGAATATTACGATCTCTACATGTACGAATTATTTTTTTATATATTTTGATTTATAAGTCCTGCAAATCAATTTTTTTTTCTTTGCACTAATGCATTTTTGTACTTATAGGAGATTACTCCTTAAAGAGTTCAAGAATTAAATGTTTGATTACATTTTTTTTGGCAATGAGAGCTAGAGATTGGATACTAGAACCAACGTCGAAGACTACTGCGGCAATTCGCTGTACTTTGAGGAAGTAAAGAGTATTATGGCAAAAATGATTTGGTTGAGACGACTTATTTTAGGCTTCAAGCGCATGTAGCATGTTTCAATAGTTTCACATTTAATAAGTCTAGCATTTGCTATCCTGTTAATTTTTGTTTGCTGTCTTTCTAGGTGCTAGTTTGGGATAATTCAATAGTGACAGTTTGTCGGGTTCTTTGCCTATCTTCTTGATGTTTAATTCTTGTTTTTACTTATCTTAACTTTTTTGGTTTTTTTAATTTTTGAATATATATGAACTGGTGATTAGTGTAACAAATTCTGATATGACTATAAGCATATTGTAGAGTGAGAAGTATTATACCGAGAGCATAAGGGGTAGAAAACCTCCATGTATAGGCATTGAGGCCAAAATGATCAAATATGAATATGTTTTCATCAAACAAACAAGTTACTCCTGTTCGTCTCTGATAACAAAAATTCATTTTAGAATACATATAAATACGATATTATATGTAACATATAACCATATCCACAGGAAAATTCAAGATACTTTTGTCATTGAATGGCTAGTTAAGTCTTGGGAGTACCCTTTTTTTTTACAGGTTCATTTCCTATGATTCCCCTACCGAGTACATAAAGACTCAATTAGGTTATTTATTGAATTCTAATTGAAACTTACTTTTGCTTCATAAGTAATTATAAATAAAGAAAAATGGTATGCGAGTTTCTGACGTGTTTTTTTACAGAGGATATGTTGTCTCAGTCATGGTGTCCTCGCTTGTCCATGCTGCAGCAAACAGATGTTTTTTCCCGCCAAAGGTTAGAAAATATTTGTTACTTTTTTACTGTTATTTTTATTGTTTCGTGTTGCTGGGTGGTTGTTTTGTTACTTGGATGCTTTGTGCCATAACAGCCAGCTTTTTTCGCCTTCTATTTTTCCTTGTAAGGCCTATAGTGGGAAGACCGAGAAAGAGAAGCATGAAGTAACAAAATATGTTAATAACCTACAATGTAGGACAAGATGAGGTTAACTGCTCCTACTAGTAGTGAACCCAAGCCTAATAAATGGCAACTGAAAAATGGGCTTTGGGTGGGTGACATGGGTTTTTGAAGGGTGGATGTGTGGTAAATAATGGGGATTTAAGGGCTCCAAAAATTGCAACAAAAGGTAGTGATTTGAGATTAAAGACACAAAAGTTTGGGGTTGTTCTTACACCCTTCAATTCTTTATCTTAAATTTCCTTTTTTTGATAATTAAACAATTTTATAAAACGAGGTCCCCAGGGGAATGCTTCTTGTGTATGAAAAGATGCCACTGCCAAAAGGCACTTTAGACGCCCTTGCATATCCAAAAGCTCTACAAATTCTATACTTGGTCTAGACCTATGGTGTACATGTTCTTGAATATGGTTGTCAAATGTGGGCGTGGGTCTGGGCTTTGGTCTTGAAAAGCTTCTAGGGTTAGTGTTGTAAGAGGGAAAAGAAAGATTTGTGTTCGTGAAAGGAAGAGGGTGGAATTGAATTGATTTCTATAACTTGCTGATTGCATCATTTCTGAAATAGTGCAATTAAAGGGACTGGATAACACTGATTTATGGATTTTAATTAGTAGCTAATAGGTATGCGAATAGGTTGTTGGGGATGGTTTGTATTAGATAAGTTTTCATTTACTAGAGAGAAGAGATTGGAATTTGAGAGATCTAAACAACATTTAATTAGATAAGTGAGATCTAAATTACGTTGGAACTTGGAAGTCAGCATTTAGACAATTGAAATGTCGAAAGATAAATGTAAATGTCCAACTACTCAATCAATGCCACAAAAATAACAAATCTGGGATGCAGAGACGAGGTGATAAGGATGCAATCTGTTAAACCCGTCCAATAGAAACACGTGTAGTTTAGTTTAGTTCGGTTCGGTTTCCGCT